GGGTTTTTAGGCCGTCGTTCGGTAGAATTTCTTCTTGACGTTTCGCAAGCACGAGTGGCTTGCATCTTCAGAAGTGGTTTGCTTGAAGGCTTACACTGTTCTGGTGCGATTCTTCGGGCGCAGTCCGTATTTTCCGATGCCCGAGGAATCGCATCAGAACAGTGTAAGCGTTCAAGCAAACCACTCGTGCTTGGGAAATGTCAAGAAGAAATTCTATCTAACGACGACCTAAAAACCCGAAGAACCCATTAGTTTCAATATTATTTACTTTTATATGTATATTAAAATTTTTTATACGGGAATAGTTATCTTTATTATTTTCGTATATTGAATGCCCAAATTGGAGAAATGGTGATTTTTAACCAAACCTTGTTTATGATCAAGTTATCAAAGAGTCCTAAAAAGCCAATGTTTTTTGCTTATGCGAGTTCTATCTTGTGGGCACGTGGTTTCAGTATAGATTTACATAAAATTGTTCCAGGCGTGTTTACAAATTTGTTTTGCTTTTTCGTAAAACTCGACATATTCAATATTTTGTTGTTAATAAAACTGAATGTTTTACTTAAAAGTAAATTTTAAATGCATCATTGAGTGGTATGATGAATTTGAAGACAAAAGTTCTTATCAAACTACTCGTAATAAAATGTTTATTCTAGTGGTTTTTTAGGTGGAACTTTAAACAAAATTCTAAAGATAAAAAAATAAAAAAGACGGTTTTTCTTACTAGCTGCTCAACAAGCATCAGTAAAAGAGTAAATATGGAAATAAAATATAATTGAAAAATCACGAGTTTTTCAGACTAGAAGCGGTTTTAATACTATTCCATTCCGGATTCCACAACAATATTCAGTTTCAATGACTTGAAATTTTAAATTATTTTAATTTTTTTTCGTCAACGTTCATGCCAATAACGACATAAAATTTCAAAAAGAACTTCTTCATAAAGCAACTAAGACAATTTTTTTCAATGTATTAAAGTTCTTCTTCTATAACAGAACAGTGTGAGCCTTTAAGCAAACCACTTCTGAAGATGCAAGCCACTCGTGCTTGCGAAACGTCAAGAAGAAATTCAACCGAACGACGGCCTAAAAACTCGAAAACCCCGTTAGTTTCATAACAATTTTTTATTGAAGCACGAGCTCATGAAAATTTGACTATTTTGTAAAATAAAATAAAACTAAAAACAACTTCTAGACAAAACAGATCAGAAATAAATTCCTGTTGATCAAAAATAGGTGTTTCCGATTGTGAAGCACTTACAATTCTGTCCGTATTATCTGCATAGGCATTTTGGGTGAGTTTATCAAATACATCAGCCACATCGCACTCAATTGCCAGACTCTCCCAGGGTTCAGTCCCAGATGATCCTCCTGCCATTCGATCAATGGGCAACAGGCTTGCGGAGCCGGTCCCAATAATCCCTGATCGGGACACTCCAGCCAAACCCACTTTCAATTTCTTTGAGGGTGGAACAGCCAAAGTGGAAGAGCTTGCTTCCCGCTTTAACTTATCCCCTGGCACTTTAGACATTATAAACACTATATTAAATACAAATGTTCTGTTTTAATCTTTGTTATAATACCCAGCTTTAGATGTTTAGAGGATTGTAGAGCACTTTTGTGCTGTTAGCCACTTAATAGATTATTTTTTAGTAACGAACTAAGTACAAGGTTGATAAATGCATGAGTAAGGGAGGGTTTTTTAACAGCGCATTTCGCATACGTCTTATTTTTTTCACTCTTAATATGAGAACAACTATAGACCCATATATTGAATTATCATGTATCTACAAGAAAACATAGAGTTTAGGAGAATATCTGACTATTTCTGGTTCCAACTATGTTGTCGAAGTTCCTCTCTTTATTGGTAAATTATGCATTGAAAGCTTATTAGATAAAGTTGAATTATTACTGCAGTAGACTCCATTAAGGTGATTTCTCGTAAAAACAAATTTTGTATGGGATTTCCAAATTATGAATAGATGATTCTGAGCGCTAAAAGTCTAAGAATATAACAGCTCTTGGGTCAAACACTAATATGGTCTTCACTTGCTTACCATTACTACCAGAGACAACCGACGGTTTGGGTAAAGGGATCGTTCTCTTAGGGTCATCTCGAGACGTCCCTGGTTTGGCCCCAAGTGCTATAAAAGAGTCTGGAAGCTGCTGCGAAATTTTGGCTTTTGGTCCCCTCGTACCAGGTGCAGACTTTCCTCTATCCATGACCACTAATTATCTTAACGTAACTGCGATATTTAATTATATATATTCAGAAACCATACTCAGAGACAAGTACTTGTCTCTGTCATACTATTCCTAATGGACTAGTTAGGAACTGTACACCAGAGACAAGTAGAGACAAGAAACTAAGCGTGAAAAAATGTCCCAAAAATAGGTTATTTTCGGACTCTTTCTTTGCTATGTTTCTTAAATAAGCTCTCTCTTTACTATTATGTTCCGCCGTCTTGTCAGAGGGCGCGAGCTGTCCCAACGGCTAGGTTGCCGTTGTTATATTTAATGCCAAATTAATGATTTTCTTTCCTTATCTAATCCATTGAGGAAAAACCACACATAGTGTTGAGTTAATAATAACGACAACGCTGCTTGTTGCAATCGTTTCTGTGCGTTAACCTTACTTTGACGATTTTTGATTGCTCTCAATATAAATTTTATTGCATATTTACTCTTTTATATTTCAAAGAGTTTTGCGATCTGTGGTTTGATAGCGAATACAAGACATTAAATACGTTTTGCACACATTTTCAAGCATTGAAACAGTGAGTACTTCATTATATTACATTATTTAAAATTGGCGGGCGTTCGCTGGAACCGCGGGTGGCTCCCCCTGAGCCACGGTTCGCACTTAACGAGAGAGAAAGCATCATCTCACAGGACAAATTATTTACATTTAGTTTCTCGTCTCTACTTGTCTCTGCTGTGCACTGTGCTATTCATAGGTTCTATTCACAAAGACTACTGAGGAAAACAAATAATATAACCCTAAATACACTCCTCGTTTTTTCGACGAAGCTTTAAAGGAAGAATGAGAATAGGAAAATTGTTCTATTCTGATAATATTTCAAATATTAAAAAAAAATTTCAATTAAAGGAAAAGGTCAATTTTGAATGTGGCTTTCAAACTCAATATTCAAAAGTATTCTAATGAATTAATGACGTAACAATATACAACACGCTTTTCGAGCGTTGTCAAATTGTAACAAGTCACAACGCAAACATTTTCTGACTCTTGACTTTGAAAACTAAAAACATAGCCTCAATTAAAAAAAAAAAATGTCAACACAAATGTAATTTTTATAATTACTTGCTATTCGCGTTTATGTATGATCCAGTGCAACTGACGAATAGATTAACCATTTTTTATTGTAGCTTTCAGTGTGTTGCTTTAATAGTGTCATCATGCGTACGCCAGTAATTCTTTTGGCTTGTGGCTGCTTCAACCCCACAACCAATATGCATTTGAGAATGTTTGGTAAATAGCTATTTGATAAGAGTTTTTTCCCTGATTTTCCACATTTGGAACTAACAGTGAACTGATTTTCATTGCAGAAATCGCTCGAGACTATTTACATCGAATGGGCCAGTATGAGGTAGTCGGTGGGATTATTTCACCAGTCCACGACGCTTATGGGAAAAAAGAACTAGTTTCAGCCACCCATAGGCTAAATATGATTAAATTGTCCCTTCAGGGAAATGAGTGGGTCAAGTTATCGGACTGGGAGTCGAGACAAGAGACTTGGACTAGAACAAGACAAATTTTACAATATCATCAGGTAATTAAAGTTAACTGCAGTACTAGACTATTTCTCACAATCTACCACATTTTTAATTATATATGTATGTAAGTAAATCTCGTTGGCTTGTCTGTTTTGCCAGTCATCCTCTGAGAGGTTTCTGGCTGACGTCGCTTTTATAGTCTCTTTTATCCATGTTGTTGGCGGTCTTCTCCTTTTTCTTCTATCTGGGAATATCCACCCGAATATTTTTCTCAGCAGTCTGTCTTTCCCTATGCGCCTAACATGTTCGTACCATATTAATTGCCGTTTTGCCGAGTGCCGAGGTGTTCTACGATTGTTCCTCTCATGTTTTCCTATGTCCTCATTTTTCACGTGTTTCAATCTAGATATTTCTGCCTCTCTTCTCCAAAAATCCATTTGAATACAAGCAAAACTGCTAGTAACTTGTCCGTAAGTTTTCCTCACTTCAAATACATTGAAGTGTGTTTCTCCTTAGAAGACAGTCATCTTTTAGACTCAATACATCCTCTAAGCAAATAAATATGTTGTTCCGATTCTTAGGAAAAAGTAATGTTTTTCGCTTAGATAGAGGCTGTTTTTGTGAGTTGTTCATACTGGTAGGACAAAAACAAGGCTATATTTACTGTTAGTATTTTTTGCAAATTCATGCTTTGAAGTACCTGAATGAAAGTACTAAATAATGTATATATCATGTTATCAAGGAACTATTTATCATTCGGGAGACTTGAAGTCGTAGCATTTTGTTTTGAACTGGTGACTTTCCATGCCAACAGATTCTGTTAAAGGAAAATCTAGAACATCATGCAATTTGTCTATTAACATTAAATTTTTTTGAAGTGATAACTTTTTATGGGAGGGTGAACCTATTTTTCTCGGTCACGGCGGCTCCCACTCCGGCCTCTTCGCGCCTGAGGCTTGGGACGCACAATGCACTTTGAATTCGACATTTTTCTCTTAGTGCGGGTGCATCTGTAGATCTGATAAACTTTTCAAATATACATTGCGTTATTAAACTGACAGTGATTTTGATTTATCAATTATTGAGTGTGATATTATTGTGTTCTGTACAGTTTATTTTATAATGCTGATAGCAATAAATCAACAAATTATCAAGGGAGAAGCTGCAGATACTGCAAATACTAGATTAAGGGTGCTCATGTACTAAGTGCCTATTCGAGTTTCGCCTTCTTTTAAATATCCAATTAAAGTACACACACAATTATACACACTGAAGCAGTTTAAGTGCCAAAAAATGGGGATCGTCCATCAATTTGCAGAAAAATGCATTACAAACTTTTGAAAATCATCTTCAAACGACCGGGTATTTATCATTGCAAATGAGATTGCCCATTGCCG